TGGGCATGCTCGAAGTAAATAATTTTGATGAAGTTCGAAGTGGGGTCTTTTCCAATTGACGGCCCCCTTGTCGGTACAAATTTTGGGTACAGCGCCTAGTACTCAGGAGCAGAGACTGGGGCCTTAAACTCTAGAACTGCCCACATGGCCCATGGACGCAATCTTGGGAAAACCCAAGTTTACCTAAGGAGGACCCCCCAGAGGACCCTAATATAATCCCCATTATCCCTTATAGTCACTATTACTGGGCGGGGGGTCCTAAACCCTAAGCCCTAAACCCTAAAGTTTACCGAACAACAAGACTTCCTTGAGCTTGGGTTGACAAAACGGTCGTGCGGGATTCTGCCCATCAGCACTACCCCCAAAAGTATGTAAAATAGCTGCCTTTATGGCTATTATTGGGGGTTTAAGGCTGTTATTTTACATATTTTTGGGGTTTAGGTATACCCTGAATCTTAGCCTGGGGTTCAGGATTTAGGGTTCAGGGTTTAGGGTTTGGGTTTAAGGTTTAAGGTTCTGGGTTTTGGGTTTAGGGTATAGGGTATAAACCTCAAATCTTAAACCCTCCTGAACCTTCAACCCCGCACCGTCAATGCTTTGGCAGAATCATGTGCTGGCTTCGCATCCTCTTGCATATTGCCCCATACGGTCATTCCCATAAATCGGGAGGACCCCAATAGAGACTCCAACATTCTCAGAGTTTAGAGCTTAAGGTTTAAGCCCAATATAGACTCCAATATTCTGTAATCATAGGGGCCCCTTGATAAGGGCTCCCCAATTTCCCGAAAGCCCCATCTGGGTTTTCCTGACATTCCCGAAAGCACCAGGGTCCGTCCTTGCATGGGCTCTCACTCTTTCCAGGAGCCCTTCGTCAAACAGAAACGCAGTTCGGAAAACCATAAACAACCCCAAAAAGAATCTCTGAGCCCTAGACCCTCAACCCTGAAACCTGAAACCCTACTTCCCATACCCTGAACCTGAAAACCCTAAACCCCTAAGCCTAGATAAATAAGTATATATATACATATATATACACATATTCCTATACCCTGCAGTAACTGCTAGTAACAGTAAGCAATCTGCAGGCTTGCAGTTCTGAGGAGAGACCCATTCTTTCATGCCCAATCTCTGCTCTACGCCCTAAATCCGTTTTTGGGGCCGTCACGGGGCAATGAATGGACGAACACGAAATTACTTCAGGGTCTCTTTAAAGCATGTTTAGGAGTTATATGTGGATTCTATACGGTTCCGCGATATTCGCGACATAATGGAGGACCAAATGGAAAAGGACATGGAACAGGAAATTGGAATTGGGAATATATAGGGGTATGTAGTCAGTCGTCATACTAGCACTCCTGCATGAGCTTAGTATACAGTAGTACCATACTTCGAAAATATGTTGCACCTTTTTACACCCCAGATCATGGGAATGACATCAGTTTTGTGGGGTTCCTGAATGATGCAAAATTTCCTGCAAAGACCCGAATTCCCAGAACCTAAGATACTTAGGGTGAGAATTTTGAGACCCTAAACCCTGACTGGCACGAAGTTTAGGGCCCAGGGTTCTAAACCCTCAATCCTCCACCGCATGGTTTTAGGGTTTGGGGTTTAGGGTTATTCATAGACTTTAGAACCCAAGGCACGTACCATTATTAGTGGTAGCTGTAGACTTTGAATCCCAGGGAGTGGAATCAAGAAGAGGGCCCCCTTTCAACTCTTAGGGTCTCTGGGGCACCCAAATTCTTTCTACAAAATGGTCGCTCTGGAATTCCTAAAGAGGACCCTCATCAGCTTTTCGTAACTCCCACCCTAACCTTAAACCCTTTTTGGCAGCTTCCGTAGGGTAATACTGCAAGATACTGTAATCCTCATCGATGAAGGAAGCCCAGAAAAGACGTGTCTGGGTTTAGGGCTAAAACCCTAAATCCTAAACGCTGAACCCTAAACCCTAAAAGCCTAAACCTCTCACCCTAAATCCTACGAAGGTACCAGGCCAAGCTCCTGAGGTTGGGACCAAAGGTCCCAACCTCAGGACCTGCAATGCTGATGTGGTTTCTTATTGGGATACTTCTTAGGGCTCAGGGTAGAGGTTTTAGGGGTTGAGAGTTAGGTTAGGGTTCAGGGTTTGAGGGTTTAGGGGTTTAGGCTTGAGGTTAGGGTTCAGGTTTTAGGCTGATATGTTTAAAAAGTTATAGCCCTATATTCGCTCTCGAGTTACGTTAAAACTGAACCAACCATGGTGTTCAACCAAGAAGAAATTGTCCAGCCCTGAGCTTCTCCTGGATCCCAACCACCGCAAGGACCAACGACGAACCAGTTGGATGCGCAACTAGAGGGTCCAAGTATTCAATAATTAGGCCCCTTTAAAGGGGATACATAGGGATATATAGGGGTATGTGGGGGTAGATGGGGTTTAGGGTCCAACTATTGAAAAAATGAGATTCCTGGATTCAGAGTACTATTTTGTTTTCATACAGGTTTTGGGTAAGTATATCATTATTAGGCACTTGGACCCTTGAGGCCAGTATTTGTATGCAAAACACAAAGAGACCACTGTCATCTTCAATCAGGCTTACATAAGGTTCCCCTTTATTAGGGTTGGGATGGGGGAGGGGAGTTGTACAGGGGCCTGATAAATTGACGATATCATTTTCAGTTTTCAGGTCTCTCTCTCAGCTATCCTAGGCTAACTATTCTTATACAAGGGTGGTAGGACCACAATTTTAGCAATTCTCTAGACCCTAAACCCAAAATCATACACCCTAGACGCTAAACCATACACACGAAACCCTAAACCCTAGACCCCAAACCCTAAACCATACATACGAAACCCTAAACCCTAGACACTAAACCCTAAACCATACACACGAAACCCGAAACCCTGGACGCCAAACCCTAAACTATACATACGAAACCCTAAACCCTAGACCCTAAACCCTAAACCATACACACGAAACCCCTAAACCTTAGACCCTAAACCCTAAACCATACAACCTAAACCCTGAATCCTAGACCCTAAACCCTAAACCATACACACGAAACCCTAAACCCTAGGCCCCAAACCCTAAACCCTATTCGGAATGTGGGTCGGCTGGAGTTATAGTCCCCCTTAAGTAGATAGAATATGGAGTATAGGGGGATCTTATTATTATTATATACCCAACGCCAAAATCTATCTAGTTAAGGGGGACTATAATCCCAGTATATACCCTAATATATTATAATGGTTTCCATTTTCTTTTCCATTATCCCTACATAACCCTATATAACCCCCATGTTAAGGGGGACTATAACGACGTTTTCACTCCTCTTCCTCTTCTGCTTCAACCTCCTCCTCTTCGCTTTCCTCCTCATGGGGGAAACTTGTGCCTAAACCCTAAACCCTACAACCCTAAGCCCTTAGTTAAAACTGTAAGGGCAAGGAAAGGCAAGGTTAGATTGAAGGTTTAGGGTTTGGGGTTTAGGGTTTAGGGCCGGGCTTATGGGGTTTAGTGTTTTGGGTTTGGGGTTCAGGCGGTTTGGGGCTTGGAGTTTAGGATTAAGGGTTTGGGGTTTAGGTTTTAGGTTGATAGCTTATGTGGCTTTTCTTTCATGATGTCCCCATGGAAGTGCATGACAAGGTGTTGCGGCTACTGATTTCATTAGGGTTCAGGGTTTAGGGGTTTAGGGTTTAGGGGTTTAGGGTTTACGTTTTAGGGTTCTTCTGACGGACCTTTTGCTGCTCTTAAAGTTGCACCGTTTATGAACTGCTCATGTGAGTAGCATTTTTGGGTGGTTGAAGCAACTAAGATTCTGATCGTCTTGGAGGATACCAAAACAAAAGGTAACCATGAACTTATTTTATATGGGGAGGAGGGGGGGCTATAGTATCTTCTCCAGCGGACTACTCATGCGGAGATTTCTCAGGAGAAAAAGGATTCCAAGGAGAACAAAAGATCGATGCTATCCGATACCAAAAACAACTCAGGATAGTGAAGCTGTCATGTCTGATACTTTAAGCAAGCAGCAACCCATGAAGGGACCATGGGGCTTGCAATTTTGTCTACCTTTCATGAGGATGCGCTTCCAACAGTAAAGCCATATCTCGGCCTCGCAATCCTCAAAGAAATCAAACCCATATGAAGGTTTCCCTAAATAAGGGCCCGAATTTTGAGCTCAATGTGCTATAGTCCTTGGTAAAGGGACCAATCACGACGTTTGGAAGCGCTAGGCCCTAAAACCTACACCCTACATATCCCTATATACCCCTGTAATATAACCCCTGTAGACCCCTGTCATTGGAGCCCTAAAATCCGCAACAACCTGTTTTCGTGGCACGAAGCTTGGTACTTACGAGTAGCCCGCGCTGGGTTCCTATCGCCAAGGCCTGCGGCGACAAAGATTACTATCTGAGATGAGCTATAGTCTAAACTCCTAGTATATCCCCCTTAACTAATAACCCCAATGCTCCTTCCCTAAATAATCCCCTATAGAACTCCCTTTAAGGAGTTTAGACTATAGTTCAAATGGTGCTGTGCAAGTTTCCTACACTCTAAATGGGCACGGACAATACTTGCGTAGTTCTTTTGGTGGTTAAACCAGGTTAGTTTGTACTCTTCTTGAAACTCATTATGCCCAAATGGAGGGTAGACTCTCACTCTCATTGGGGACGAAAGCATCCCCCTTAACATCCCAGCCTGAGAAAAAAAAGCTGCGCATGAGTTCCCTTACTAACCCCCGCCAATAATACCCCCCACCGCGAGATTCGCGCTTGATTGGGCTTCTTTATGGCTAATTAGGCCTAGATAAGGTTAATCAAGGGACCCAGGGAACTTGGGGTGGGGGGGGGTAGTATAACTCTAAACCCTAATCCCTCAACTCTAAACCCTAAACCCTAGACTCTGAACCCTGAAGCCTAAACCCTAGACTCTAAACCCTAGACTCTAAACCCTGAACCCTAAACCCCTAAACCCTAAACGCTATACGGGAATCCACGATGAAGAAACCCTGGCAGATGCACCTCACTACTCGCCTCTTTCTTCTGAACCTTGCTGGCCTTGGTGTTTAGGGTGTAGGGTTTTGGGGTTTAGGGTTTGGGGTTTAGGGTTCAGGGGTTTAGGGTTTGGGGATGAGAAACCCATAAAGTAGATCCCCCCATCTCAGGGACTAGTAAGGCCCAAGTAGTACGACAGATGCGGGTTTACAAGGGCTTGTTGGTTATTTTTCAACCTGAGCTCGCAGAAATCAACCGGTTGCTGCAGGTTCAGCGTCCGCGCGAAGGCTGGCAAGTGTCAGTTAAGGGCTTGGGGCATTCTATTCTTGAAACCATGGGCCCTTAGTATGGACCCTTAGACCTACTGACTAAAGACCCTCTATGTACCCCCTTAAGGGTCCCTTGAGTCCCCCTACAAGACCCAACGGCCCGTAATAGGGGCACAGACTTCTAACCTTAGACCCTTTAGCACTCCAATCTGTACATGAAGCCTTGCTCGAGACCCTAAAGAAATCCTAAGCCCTGAGCCCGGACCCTCAACCCCAAACACTGAACACTAATTCCTAACCCCAAGCCCTAACCCTAATTCCTGAACCCTGATCACCAAGCCCTGAACACGAAGCCCTAACCCCCCTAACTCCAAACCCTCCCAAACCCCTAAACCTTGGGTACCGCCCCCCAGTAACAGTCTATATTAGGGGTCCTATTAAGGGCTATATAAAACCATATTATAATTATCATCCAACTGTTACCGAGGGGGGGCAGTACCCAACCTAAACCCCTAAATCTGACGGGATGCCAGAACAAGCCGAGCCCCGTCTGCATAGCCAAGCCGAACTGACCCTCTTCATCATGCAGGGTTTACTTTTTAGGGTTTAGGGTTTAGGTTTTTGGGGTTAGGGTGTTACTATAAAGTGTATGTTGGGGCTAGCGTATATTGGGGTTCTATAGGACTATGGAAAATATGACTGGAAACTACTATAGGGGTATATAGTAGGGGTAATATAGGGTCTAGGGTGTAGGGTGGAGAAGGCTTCAGACTTGGGCTTTGGGCACAGGATGTTGAGCAAAAACCGTAGGATCTGACTATTTCTAGAGCTTTGGTGTCTGTGCGCGTAGGGTCGAGGGTGTACATGGTTTAAGGGTATGATTTCCGCAAGATGAAAGAACAAGACATACTGTCAATATTGGCTGACAGGAACGAAGAGTTCTATCCAAGGTCCCCTAAACCCAAAACCCTAAATAGGAGTTTCCATTTGCTTTTCAATATGCCAGTATTACCGCTATGTAACCCTAGTATAACCCTGAACGGGAACAAGCCTGCAGGTGACCTTCGGGTCAGCAAGAGTAGTGTCTGAGTATGGAAATAAGAAGTATATGGGCACTTGTCAAAATCACGCTTTTTCGGATTTTTGGAAGCCTCCAGAATATGATGCAGCACTTTTTAAGGGTTAAGGGTTTAAGGTTCAGGGTTCCGAATAAGGGTGCCTCACTCAACCACCAGAACAAGGAAGTCTTACCGGAGGTTAGTAGGGAATAAGGGGATATATCATGCAGGGATTATATAGGGAATATGAGGGAACATATTCGCTACCCCAAGCCCTTAAGTCCTGAACCCTGTGACGGAGATTGTATTCCTTTATAAGTCGCAGTAAGAAGTGTAGCCAGCCTCTTGAAATTCTGCAACCTTTCCAGAACCGCCAAAAACCTCACCTTAGTAGGACAGAATCAAAAAGCGAGCAATATAAATATATATATATATACCTGGAGGATCCACGGGCGAGTTGCCAACACTAGTATCCCACCAATGGAGGAAACTAAATCAGGGGCATATTTTGTCGCAGAAACCTCCATAGGGGAACCGGAATGCTACACGCTAGCCTTTCTAGACATCACCACTTAAATAGCACACGCCATGCCCAACACTATCCCAACCGTATTCGTCCCTTGAGCCACACTCCCGTCCCTATGACCCCTGCCCCCACGTCCGCAAAGGCCCCCTAAGCGCACCCAGGTACTTGCAATCTCGCTTTAGGCCAGACCCTCGAAGGAGGACATCTGGATTACACACAAGAATCTAGTGTTCTTACGGGTTTTGTCCCCTCTGCTCGCCGTTGTATACCCATAAAACCTCTATATGAAAAACACACACAGACATGTATGTATATATCTATATACACATAGATATATATATACACATATATATATGTATATATTAACCTGATTATTGAAACCCCGAAAGCCCCAAATCCTGGAGACTCCTAAATGATGAGGCGCCTCATCCAGCCCCCCCGCCCAAACCCTAAACCCCAGAATCCTTAACCCTGAGCCCCATGGGGATCTCCCTGGCTCTCGGGCCAGGTTGGTAAATGGCGACACTATTGTAGAGTTGTCCAAACCTGGTTGTAGTTTGGGTTTGCTCTACCTCGCCCTGAACCCTACATACCATCGCAGAAGCGCAGTTTCTACTTGATTTCCCTGTTCCTGTAACCATTGGGTTTACCATCGTTAGTTAGAACTTAATTAGTATTCCCGTGCCTAACTCTAAGATGACCCCAGGGCCATGGCCTAAACCCAAGACATCACCAAGAAATTCAAGCTTCTACTTTAGGGCTTCCTTCTTGCAGTTACCATGATATGGATATATAGTAAATAAAAGGTTGTCTTAGTAGAGTAAGTTAAACAAAGTTACTGAACAGCGATCCAGCCTTCTGAGGATTGCCGCGCACTTCTGGATTGCCGCGCACTTCTTGATCGGCTGCGCCGCCTGGGTCTTGCTAGCAAGGAATGAGGAACCGGATTTGCATTGTAGCCCCCATATATGATCCTAATTACTAAAGTTGTTTCGATTTTCTTGTCCATTCCTTCATTCCCTGGAAGCCAGTAGAACGCTGTTCCCCCGCTTCTCGGGCCTTAGGGTGAATGTCTTTCGGGTGTTTTGGTTTTAGGATTCAGGGCTGTGGATCTGGGGCTTAGGTTTGATGTTTAGAGTCTTCTGGTTCATTTCTGAGGGTTCAGACTGCATACCACCTCTTTTCCGCAACCTGAGAACCCTCCAGTCTTCTAGCTTTGTAAGTCCCTAAGCCATATACCAGCAACCCTAGACCCCTAATTGCATCATGTATTGGCCGAAACAATTAGACTATGGCTTCGGTCTTCACTCTACTTTAGTCAGATGAAGGCTATTAGGGAATAGCATTGGCAGTTAGTCAGGCGTCTACAATACCGTGAATACCCTTATATACACATGTTGTCCTTAAAAACCTTGCATGGCCTTGCGATACCATAACACCACCCTAAACCCTAAACCCCTAAGCAGTTCCCAAAGGTTCGGGTACCCAAGGCTATGCAGGGTTTCAGTCTCAGCCGTAGCAGCTACAGCATCCGTGGCGTCCCAAGTGGTGCAAAGGTTCCCTTCATCGTTCAGGATTTAGGGTTTAGGGATTTGGATATTATCAACCATAGTCGTGCATGGTCTTTATATATTGGGCTCTAGCACAAAAAATGGACATGTTTTCCAAGGTCCTAGCCACCATGCTATTCGTTATGGAAATCTTGCACCACCCCAAGCACCCTGAATCCAAGCAAGTAAAATCATTCAGGCCTCATCCGACCCTTCGCCCATCATTCTTGTAAACAACCACTGTAAGCCCGCCTTGATTCAGCGTTGTGGCTCCGAGATTTGCGGGGTGCTACTGTGCATCCTTCCGAACATGCCTGTTTTTCGGAGGGTGTTCTCATCAATGCAGCAACGGCCTCCAAGTGCCGCCAGATACACTTTTTTGAGGCGCCCCTCCGAACCTTGCAGGTTCAACAACTCAATGCTCTCCACCTTGACCTCCTTTTCTGGGAGCCTACGCTTGTGGCCGGACCTTTTGATTGGATTCTTGCTCAGCAAGCGAGACGCGCTCCAGGTTCTTCCTTCAGCCTGCAATCTTCCACGAAGGGATGCGCCGGAGGCAGATTAGGATGGTGCATGGCCTTCCTCACCGCATTCGTCATGTGACTCATACATAATCTAAACTCCTAGCATCCCTCTTAACAACCCCTATGATAGTAACCCTATATAATTCCATAGATAAGCCCCTTGAAGGAGTTCAGTTTAGACTGTAGCTGATGTGTTCCGCCCAACTCCTGCTGAGTCCCACGAGGGGTTCGGCTTTGCATGCCAGTCAGTCATCCAGCGTAAGGCTAATGAAAAATGCGCAGGCCTTAAGTTTAGCACGCTGTGCTCAGAGCTCAAGATTTTAGGGTTTACTTCTTTATACTTAGAAATTTCAATTCGATCTTGTATTCTGCACAGGAGTTGGTTGAGGGTTTCGAGTTCGGGGGTTTGCAGCGCTAAGCCCGAAACCCTAAATCCACCAGATTTACGAAGAGAGTTCAATGCACTCTTGAATGATTAGGTTCACATGGCGCTTAGCCTCGTCTTAGCCCTCGAGGGTCTCCTAAAAAGTTGTAACTCTCAAACCTAACCCTACACTCTAAACCCTAAACCCTAGGGTTTAGGGTTTAACCCTGGACCCTACAAACACAAGCCCTGAACGTTTGGAGAGTTTAGGACTGAATCCTGAGGCTAACATTCAGCTCCCAGTATCTCCAGCCACCTGTACGTGGGTTCTTTTTTTCAAGGAGCACATGTTGCCTGGTAAAGGTTCTTCTGATGGTCTTGCATTTACGGGCAACCCGACGCTACACTCTAAACCCTAAACCCTGAACTGGATGACTCCAGAAGCATCTTGTAGGATTCTGCCTGCTTTGCGTTCTTCCCAATACAAGGCTGACCCCAAACCTTTTGCTTAGGTGGCGGTGTAGGGCCCAATGTCCCCTAGTTACGGAATAATATACCTTTAATCATGTTAAAGGGATCCTAGTATCATGTAGTCTAGGGTATATTCCCTAACTAAGAGAGATTTTTACTTCCAGGGTTTAGGGCTTACGGCGTGGTCAATGAATCTACGCTCAAAACCAGTCTCAGCTTCAGGTTTGTTAGTTGCCTACATGGCATGTCTTGACTTGTACAAGCGTACACGACTGCAATAGCAAACCCTAAC